ACATGCATTAAAAAACATGTAATGGGAAATTAAAGATCGGAAATGATCCTTTTTGGGACCTTTGACCTACATGTAACCTATATGACATATCCTACATGTACATCCTTGTACTCGGTGCAGAGTGTTTCTCCTTACCTGCCAGATGACATGTCCTACATCCCTGTACTCGGTGCAGAGTGTTTCTCCTTACCTGCCAGATGACATGTCCCACATCCCTGTACTCGGTGCAGAGTGTTTCTCCTTACCTGCCAGATGACATGTCCTACATCCCTGTACTCGGTGCAGAGTGTTTCTCCTTACCTGCCAGATGACATGTCCTACAGCCCTGTACTCGGTGCAGAGTGTTTCTCCTTACATGACATGTCCTACACCCCTGTACTCGGTGCAGAGTGTTTGTCCTTCCTTACCTGCCAGATGACATGTCCTATATCCCTGTACTTGGTGCAGAGTGTTTCTCCTTACCTGCCAGATGACATGTCCTACACCCCTGTACTCGGTGCAGAGTGTTTCTCCTTACCTGCCAGATGACATGTCCTACATCTCTGTACTCGGTGCAGAGTGTTTCTCCTTACCTGCCAGATGACATGTCCTACAGCCCTGTACTTGGTGCAGAGTGTTTCTCCTTACCTGCCAGATGACATGTCCTACATCCCTGTACTCGGTGCAGAGTGTTTCTCCTTACCTGCCAGATGACATGTCCTACATCCCTGTACTCGGTGCAGAGTGTTTCTCCTTACCTGCCAGATGACATGTCCTATATCCCTGTACTCGGTGCAGAGTGTTTCTCCTTACCTGCCAGATGACATGTCCTACATCCCTGTACTCGGTGCAGAGTGCTGCCATGACGTGTGCTGCCTGGTGCCAGTTATGCTGTAGCAGTGCCCGGCGCAGCAGGTGTACCAGTGGAATGTGGATAGGCTGGTGACTGTTCCCTCTGCTCACAAACTGTAGGCCCTTGTTGGCTGAGGATAGACAATACTGTAACAATATACTGATGACCTAAGTAAATAGTACCACGGTTTGAAGTACTATTCTTCTTCGTGCCTGCAATGGTATAACATTGAAAACTACCTGCACCACTCAGAATTTAGAAAGTATGGATCACACCAAAGAAACAAATAGATAAGCACAACAAAACCTCCATACATTGAGGTAATGATTACATAATCATGTGTCAGGGCTCGAAATATACTGGGTGCATGAGCCAAATTTGGAGCTGTGCACCCAAATATTTTCTTAGGTTTATGTATGTAACGTTAAAGATGTTAATGTATAGTACTATACAGCATATTCTTAATATCTAAGTGTCAGAAAATAATAAAATCATTGTTGTACTACTTTTCTTTAGAAATGAAACATAATAAGTTTTTCTGACATTCCACTGTATTTTATTTTATATGGTGCACCCAAAAAATTTTTTTGTGCACCAGTGCACCTATTCCCCAAAATGAATTTTGAGCCCTATGTGTCCACCATACCTTCTGTCTCTACTTGACTATCTCCTGATGTGAGTGTATAGAAGGGAGTTCCATCATCATCATCATCCTCCTCCTCCCCATCCAGCAGCCCTCCACTGGTCCATGTGGTGGAGGAGAACACACTCTCCTCATCACCTCCATCTGACTCTGTCTCCATCATAGCATCTAAACGACTAACAATCAATGATCTCCGTCAGTATCTTTACCTGTATCTGTATGATGGTTGTATATGTACAAAGTATCTGTATAGCCGATATAGTCACTTCTTGGCGTATAATACTAATACACCAGCTTCTGACATATAACACACCAGCTTTGCAGGCACATGGCGTGGTGCACGTGGCAGCTGGCTATAATACTCCAAACGACTTGTTACACATATCCTTTGATTGAACATCTAAATCTAGACATTTGCTTCTAAGAGTTTAAAGCTATCTAGTGATGACGGATGCCCCTACTGTACGGTTGGTTGCAGCGAGTTCCATTCTACGATCATAGTTCTTGGTGGAAAACAAAAAGAATTTTTGAAGACTTCAATTTTGGTTGATAACTCTGGTGCTTGCATTACATGACAAGTAACTATCTCCAAGAGGCGTAACCTTGCCCTTTTTAGTGTGTAAGTTTACAACCCTAGCCCATGAGATCCCATGAACCCCAGCCCATGAACCCAACGCACTAACCGCAAGGCCAAAAGGTCCGGACCTGTTTGACTGGTCAGTTGGTGGCGATTGAATTGATCCCCACTGCTATAGCTCTACAAATATTTCATAGACTGGGAGACAGAAAAGAAACATGTTCAACTTTGCCTCCGTCCTTCCCGCGTTATTAGGTCAAAGGTGACAAGTTTCCCACTATGCCACGCGGCAGACTGCAGACGTGTACTTCCGTGTGACTTTTGGTCCGAGTTTTCCCGGACAGTTTACTAAACTTTTGAACAACTTTTACGCGAATTTTCACGGCCCAGGTTATCTCTTGTGTTGCAGAACTGAAACTCGCTCAAACAGAAGAAGGCTTAGCGTGGAACCAGCTTCTAAACTGTCCCGTCTAGCGGCCTAACCGGTGCGCCCCCCTCCCACAACAGACGACATTTTTGATCCAGGGGTTTAACTTCAAGCCACAACAATGCAGTGTAGACTGGTGTTTGTCGCAGTTTGTTCCTTCTTCATCTTACCAGCATGTCAGGGCCAGGGCGACCCTGTCCAGATGCAGCAGCAACAGCAACAACTACAGCCGGACATTCCTCACCCGCCAGGTGCTCAGGCAGCGCACGCCCAGCCAGGCCAGGCGGGGCAGCCGGCCTCACGTGCCGCCCACGGTCAGGCAGCCGTGCCGGCCCAGCCCGGGGCTCAGCCCGCCTTCCACCAGGGCAGCTTACCTGACCCCGGCACCACTGGGCAACAACCGCGAGAGGCACCAAACCCACTGCGCAGCAGAGACCATGTACAAGACTTAGAGTAAGTCTTTGAATTATTCGTATAACGTTAAATCATAGTCTATTTGCACTCACTTGAATTTCAACATATTTGGTTAAGATGAATAAAGAAATTGTGAGGGTCCGCATGTCACAAAACAAGAGGTCACAAATACAAGCTTAAAGTTCCCCTTGCAAAAGCTAGAGTGAGAGGCCAAGTGTTAAGTATTAGAAGTGTCAAGGACTGGAATTCACTACCAGAATGGGTAGTGAACAGCAGAACGGTGAACGAGTTCAAGACTAATCTGGACAAGCACTGGACGCACCTCAAATTCAAGCACGTCGAAAGCGACTAGAACGGCTCATTATAGGCATCGCCTCCCTCAGCTGTATGCGGTATCAAGGTATGTCCTTTTTTCTTTGAGTCGTAGTGAGCCATTTTAATTGAACATTAATCATTTCCAAAGCCTGTGGGTGTACCCGAATATTTTTGTAGGTTTACGTATTGTAAGGAACACACACCGACTAATTTTATATGGTACACCCAAGTGTTTTTTTGTGCACCCAATATTATAGGTTGGGTGCACCAGTACCTATGCCCAAACATGAATTTTGAGCCTTGCCACATGATAACACTATAACAATGGGGGGTTCATAGGCGCTACCAACTGACCCGGCCGAGGGGTCTAGACCTTTTAGCCGAATCGGTAGGAGTGTCGGATTTGAACCTGGTGCTCAGGTTTGGTTGTGGGTTCGAACCCCGGCCCGGGACCAGGAGTGTCTTTCTGTTTCTACTCTCCTAATTCTTACAGTGGTTCCCACACCAGGAATCAAACCCAGGCCTTGACGGTGAGACCGCCAAATCCTAACCATTAGATCATTCCCGGCTGGGTCAGTTGGTAGCGCCTATAATGGTATAAACCCCCCGTTTGACAACAATTTTCACAATTCTGTATTGTGTCTCTGTAGTCACATTAAGGAACACCTGGACCCTTTAGTCGGGAAGTCCACAGCTGAGATGTCAGAGGAAGAGCTACAGTTCCACTACTTCACCCAGCACGACTACGACAAGAACAACCGGCTGGACGGCATCGAGCTGGTGTCCGCCATGACGCACTTCCACGACGAGGACCACGACAAGGGCCACGACGGCGTACAGCTCAGCGAAGACGAGATCACGTCCACCATCGACCAGATCTTACGAGACGACGACAGGAACAGGGACGGGTTCATCGACTATGCAGAATTTAAGGCGTCTCAAACAAACGAGTCCTAAAGACTACAGATACTGTAGTCTCTAAAGCAATACTTGCCATACTTAGGTACTTAGTAGTATTAGTCTACCCACTTGTATACAATGCAATGTTTATGATCTTAGTTATACAAGGTAGCAGGTCAACTCGACAAGTTGGAGAGAGAGAGCTTGAAGTAAGAAATGACTTTTTTATATGTTGGTATTAAATGATTTGACCATTGTTCTGATTCCAGTTTTTTAGGACTCTTCCATTTGAAACATTTAACAAGATAGTAAGGATATTTTTCCATTTCAAATTGCTTTAAATGCACCCAAAGCAATTTCAGGGCAGTAAGACGATTTTTTCAGTCCATTTTCTGGTCATTTTTAATGTAGTAAGTTGAATCAACCATATCACATCATATTGAATCACATACAAGTAGCATATGGCAGTAAATATTAATATCAGACAAATTTCCTCATCCAGAATGTTGCTTTTTTGCACTCTGAAATTGCCTTGGATGCCTTTAATCTAAAATAAGAAATACTAGTACACCCGATCTGATCTCCCCCCCCCCCTACAAAAGGGCCAGCTGTTGTCACTTAAAATAATGCTGCTGCTTTTGCCCAAGGGCAGGTTTACTGGTTGAACAATACCAGTACGAGAGGCACACTTTAGTGACATACACATAGTTCAGTAACTTACATGTGTAGTCAAAGGCCCCCCTTACAGTTGAATTTATTGGACAAACTCTATGTCAGAATTTCCAACATAGTCTGGCTGGTCCCTCCACTTTATCTTGAGATTTTGAGTGTTTCACTCAAAATCTTCTTGATTCGCCCTAATGTTCAGTCACATTAGAAGAAGGACAGAACCACAACTTATCAAATTAGCCTGGTTACCAGACCTATTTTAGCTGTCTTTATCCTCTTCTCAAATAAATTGTGGAGAGTATAAAGACTTAGAAGCTGAAATAGGTCTGGTAACCAGGCTATCATCAAATATTATCAACTTACCAACTGTGACCTATTGCTTTTTTTTGGGGGGGGGGGCAATCATAAATAATATGATGAAACATTAAACATTATCATTGCTTGTATGAAAACCATATTGAAAGTATGCCAGAAAAGGTGGGGAAGTTTCCAGTGACATTTTATAGAGATGCCATAAGTAAATAGATAGTTCTTGATTGTCCATGTTGTCTTGGCCATCACCTATAAGAGTTAGATTTGTAGGTTGGCACTCAATTCAAAGCCTAAGTGCACATGAAACTTGAAAGTGCAAAATATAAAATGCAATTACAATTTTATGAGGATAACATTATTGCCCATTGTCTTACATATTGTAACAGTATGTTACAAAGTCTTCTTTAGCATTTATATATTGGATTATTCACAAAATAAGTACAAATCTGATACTGAATCAATCAGTTTGTTCTTATATAGGACCAAATTGTTATTTTTTACTGGAATACCACAAAGTTTATGATGTGCCAACAATCCAAGTGTTTTTCTGTGTCAGGTATTTAGTTACTTCACCACTGTAAATAACATCATTGTAACAAAATCAACAAAACATAACATAGACTAATGATATTATAGGATGTAAAGAACTGCTCTAAATATTCTCTGTTGGTCTCGTCAATATCCAAGATTACTTTGGACTACTAGACTTATAATTAGTGGAAAGCTGGAGAACATTTTTTTGTACTTAGAAAGTGTCAACCTGTAACAAATAGATATTTCAATTTAGATAGATATGTGCACATAATTGCAATTGCTTTAGAACCTTTTTTTTCTAAATGTCTCTTTCTCTTTTAGACATGGAAAGTTACTTTTCGTACAGTTCTCTGTTAAATTTCTTGATGTGGGAATGAAACACATGACCCTATCATGAATGTGTGAAATACAATTTTACCTGAATAGGTCAAACTTGAAAACTTTTTACAAACCATTATGTAACTAAGGGAGAAAACAGGAAAATCTATAGGGTCCCCCTGCATAATGGTATGGTCAAGTGGTTAATAATTCTAATAACTGACCACTTATAATGATTATCCACCAGTTGTCACTGACATTATGGTATCATAGCCAAATATAAAATTGAGACTTCTGATTGGTCAAAGTCATCTGGCTATATGATAATTATGTTAGTTGACATTGATCCTGTAATGCCTTTAAATTGCTGTTTTATTTGTATTCTTGTATAAAAAAAACAGAAGCCTTGCTTTATCTGTTGCACACTTTATTCCATTACACACACATTGGCCACATCACTTGTTCATTCATTACTCATAGTATTTCTCACCATTTGTCATATAGAAAACAATGAAAAGAGTTCCAGGATCGCAGCACAGATAGAAATTCTTAGGGCAAAATCTCTCTTTGGAATAGATGCTGACAATGGCGCATGACTGTATAATAATCACATTGTCAGTAGGGTAACTACAATGTACATGTCATTTGATTAAAGCTGCATTATGTAACATTAGGATAATTTCTTCACATAGTAAGTTCAATCAACCCTACTCCATTGCAATTAAGTGTCATTCAGGATTTGGAGGTACCAAAATATAATGCCTTACGAGTGTGTTTAAAAGCCTGAAACACAGCAGTCAGCCATGTTTGTTTACATTTTTTAGTATTTTGTGGTGGCACCACAAATTGGGTGCGCCTCGTGTGGGCTGTTTTAACGTGAACGTTGGAACGTGGAAGTAAATTATGACCACAAGCAAGTTTTCAATTATAATATTTCAATTTTTGGTGCAAAAATGTTACATAATGCCCCTTTAAGATCATTTCTACGTCAACGTTATCGACACAACAACAAGGCATTGTCACAGTTGGATGGAGGCATTATCTGACATTCCCTTGTGCACTAAGCTTTAAATTGTCATACAGAGTAAGGCAATGTCTTACAGTCTCAGGTGACATATCAAGCACCTCTTACAAAAGTAATGTGACGATGTGTGTTTTTGTCGAGTCTATGAAATCGCAAAAGAGGTTTTTTATATTCTCTTCAAAAAATGCATAAGCCACAGCATTAATACGAGTTTGTAGCCATTCAAACACACTAGAACATTTTTCACACTTCATAAATATCTTGGAAAGAAAATCACAGCATATACATACCATAGTTTCCATGTCGCAACTCAGAAAATATTAGTCCATGATACAACGGAACTTGAGAATACCATATACTGTACACACTGTTTCAATCCGAGTTCACACATAATAGATTTCGAAAGAGTTTGATAAAAACTTTTACGCTTGCAAAACCTTTTGACGAAAGTGTCCACAATGCTACTTATATTTGGCACAAACTCCAGTATTTCTTTCTTTTCTTGGAGTCGGACTCCATCAACAAAAAACAAACATCAATCAGAAACATTGATACAAAAATATCCGCATTTTCCTAGGACAACTTCCTGCAGCGCGCAGTATACATTACTACATATACACATCTCATATACATGACCTTTCCTAAATGTTTTTTTCGTTCATTCAGCGGTATAAGCCTATCGCCTGCGCCACCTGTGTATTACGTTTGGTATTGCAGCAATGGCGCCGACATGTCCATGTCTTGATTCACTCAAATACACTGAGCTATAAAATCCCTGTTACACATTCAGAATCTTCCGCCAACCACCAACCAAGGTTGGCTGAAGTTCGGGAACAGGCTGACCACATTTAGGCCACGCCTTCTTTCGATGTACGAATCAGATTTGAGTTAAATTTGAGTCAGATATGAACCCGAACACTGCAGACCTACTCCTAGCCACCATTCAACAATTGTCGAACCTCCCGTCCACTCCCGAATGTTTTATAAACATTTTTAAACATTTGGCTGGCGCAGCCGAACAGTAGCCAACATTGCCAAGTGACGAGCCAACCACAGCCGACCTTACTCCCAACCTACTCCCAATCTACTCCCAACCTACTCCCAACCATGGTTGGGGGGGGGGGATTCGTCAGTGTTCGGGAGGCCATATTACTTAGGCTATGTGTGACGGGGGCTTTAGGCATGCCAGTGTACTGTACATAGTAGAGACTGGCGTGACATATTTATTAGATCACAGTGCTAGATTTGGATATAGCAAACAGTATGCTTGAAAATGATCGCACGTAGTAGTCCCAAGTTCTAGTTAATCTTTTACACAATCCCTTTCAATACGCTTTGAAAACACAATCTTTCTTACGCTCAACGTAGGCTACAGGGAACAACGAGTCTTTTTTTTAATGTCAGAATATATGATGATGGGGTTAGGCGAATAGAGATGACCTGTGATTGGCTAGGAACCGCTCTGGAGACCTGGAAAAGAAAAAGATATATATGTTTAGACATTTTTCAGTGGGAAAGTTATAGCAATCACAGCAATAAAAAAACTTTGAAAATGATTTTAATTTCCGCCAATCGTCAAATATAGAGGCACCAAAAGCGACTTCATGGTAGTAAAAGTACTAAAACTATTTTAAAAGTCAATTTTATCATCATTTTTTTTATGTAGTAAGTTGAATCAACCCTATCCTATAGCATACTGATATCTGTGTGTGAGGCAAAAATGCGATATCTCTGAAGGAAAGGTGCTACTTATTTCATATCAATAGTAGTCTGGTTCTAGCTGTTTATTAGTGGTAACAATAGTATGAATTATAAAATGATGACGAAAATGTACTACGAAATGACAGTAAATGTCAATGACAAAGACAATGACATGAACTATAATGTTTTGGTCCTTCAACTTCACTACTGCAACTTCAACTTCACTGTCCTAACAAGTTACTACTCCGACAATAAATCAATTCCTGTGCCCTGCCCACACTACTTAATACAACATAGGGAGGTGCGCCCAACGGTACACACCTATCTTCCGCGCCACCTGTGGCTTACGTTTGGTATTGCAGCACTGGCGCCGACAGGTTGGGATGGTGGGAGGGATTCATTCTGAGTGCCGCTGTCAGGCTTTTGTTATACCTAAAGACAAAGAAAATGACATCTTCAGTCAAAATAACATATGATAGGTGTCCTAAATGCTACGTGTACATAGTATACACCAGTATTTTTTTTGAAAAAAGTCTCTTCATACATGAGAATGTCTGCACACAATAGAAATTCACACTAGCCTGGTGTCCAGTCTATCGAGGTTTGGGCGGGTTGTCTTCGGGCCTTCAGACGTTCCCCACCGCCCAGTTTAACAAGGCTCCCCGGTAGGAGTCTTGGCCTTGCAAAACCTACCGGGGAGCCTAGTTGAACTGGGCGGTGGAAAACATATGTAGGCCCGAAGAGAGCCCACCTAAGCCACGATAGACTGGACACCAGGCTAATGTACACAGGAGAAGGCCCTCACCAGTCGTCGTCGTGTTGCTCCACACGCATGCCCATGTTGGTAGTGGGCGGCATGGAGAACTGTGCCATGGGGGGAGGCGCGTAGGCCGAGCTCGCCATCTGCATCTGAGGGTACCTGGAAAAAAACAACTGCCGTTAGAAACGACTTATATTATATGCCATCTTGCAGCCGGTCCCTTTCACAAAGAAAGGCGTGATGTTGCAAGTCTGGTGTTTCTCTATCGCTTTTTCCATGGCAAATGCTCCGCGGAACTTCATTCGCTTGAGCCCCCACACTGAACTTTCTCGGCCAGGACACGTTTTGCTACTACTACGGAAGCAAATCACCCTTTCTTCCTCCATACTCCATCTGCATCGCTATAGAACCATTTTCCTTGTGAATGCTCCCCAAATTTAGTCCATCGCAACGGAATTTCCCATAGACAGAACACAGGGAAGATATATATAATATTTCTAAATGACCGTCTTTTCAGCACCAAGGACAGGGTGGCCAATATCTCGAAGGCAATTCTACAAGAAACAAATCTAGCACCGCTACTGTTCCTGTTGAAGGGCAGTTTCAAAGATGCTAATGTGTTTAATTGGGAAGCAGGCATATATCTAGATAAACCCAGATTTCAGTGTTTACAGAAATGTTAACACATGCCACCTGTCTTATAGTTATAATCTGTGATGTTTTATCCAGTTTTCTGAGGAAACGAAAGCCATTGACATGCTACAGACTTAGTGATGCTTTACCTTGCACATGAGCTGGCAGGGTTGATGGTGTTGGACATGTGTTGGTACTGGTAGCTGCCCGGGCGGACGGCAGAGTTGTGGCCGGCTGCAGGCTGGTAGATTCCCCGCATCATGTTGTTACAGGAGGCCATGGGAGGCAGGACCGGGGACAGGGCCTTGGACAGCTGCTTCTCCTGCTTACGGTACTTCGCACGGCGGTTCTGGAACCACACCTACACACAGGGTAGAGACACACGGTTTATAACATCTCCAAGTAGATATTTTGACTGCAAAGAATCAAATTGTCCAGGCAGTGTCCAGTTTCCAGACAGTTACCATTTGCCACTCGAAAGTTGGGCTTCCGTAAAAAAAGAGATAACCACTACAAAACAAATCCCGATAATATTATACGCATAAAACACGCCTGCAAAAATAGGCCTGTTTTCTTATTGCGGCATTGAAAGTTAAGACATGGTGGCAGCATATTCAAGTTTTCAACTTATTTTGCCGCCACCAATACTCCTTTTCACTTAAGTGAAGTGAGTAAAGTCGTATAAAGTGCCTTTCCCATGGGCAGGCAAGATCGGTGACATGGCAGGATTCGAACACAGGACCTCTTGGGTCTGAGCCGAGCACTCTGCCACGCTTCCCCACATACCTCTGCTATGCACAGAAAATACCATCCAACAGCAGAAAAAGGAAACATCGATTGTTTTTCTCTCTCATCTACTTCTTTTACAGCAATTAGGAGAAATTGTGCATTTAATTGCCCCTGTGTTGGTATGAACTTGTATGCGTAGTATAACGAAAATGAATCGTATAGCGCTACAGGAAATTGGTATTGTTCCACTTTTCGAGTGATTTTAAAAATTCCTACATATCAAAACGGATTTAATGAATAAAATTACTGTGATAAACAACAATTTCTCACTGATTAGGATCAAATTGTAACGGTTGGTACAGCACAGAGACAGTTCCTATTCCCGAGTATGGCATGTTTTATATATACAAAACTTCATTTCGCATGTTATAGTATGATTCTTTTTCAAAGATTTTCTGTACATATTATGTCCACTGTTTATCATCATATAAGTAGAAAGTCTCACAGAGGAACGTGAAGGTTTGTATGTCCAATCTCTACATTTCGCGTTGTTTTCACAGACAAGTAGGTCTAAAATGTAGTCAGGCTGGTTTGTATTATTATCCGGATCTGTTAACCGCTTGTATTTGCTTCCCCCGAACACTTTTAACTTCTTTAATCTCGGAGCATCTGTCATGATGCCCTCTGAAGGACGCCTTTCTATCTGTCAGCCCACCAAAGAGAAATCAAGCCTGAAAAAATTGTGAAGAAACTGCCGTTGGCAAATTTTGTTTATGATTCCGTTCTATTGAGGTGTATGCAACGGTGAACAAAGTTACTTCTAAAGGCACCCAAAGCGATTTCAGATCAGTAAAACTGGATTTACAAAGTGAATTTTCTGGTTATTTTTATGTAGCAAGTTGAATCAACCCTATCCTATAACATACTGGTATCTGCGAGGTAAAAATGCGATGTCACTGACGGAAAACGGTAGCTTGTTTGGCATCGTAGGCTGGTTCTAGCTATTTATTGGTGGTATAATAAAGGGACTCCTCACGTAGGTTTTTTTCACGTAGGGCTATTTCAAACACTTCAACTATGAAATGATGACGAAAATGTGCTACGAAATTGCAGTAAATGTCAATATGAGACAGATATCCTCATCCAGAATATTTGTTCCGTAAATAATTTCATCAGGTTGGTAAATGATGGAATAGAAAAGTTCTTTTATTCAAGAACCATTTGTTTTACAGTACATGAGCCGACGTTTCGATGACCGTCTGTCACCTTCATCTGGGCTAATATGGCTGGTTTACTGTGCACTGGAGCTAGTTGTTACATGCATTGGGTGCCTTCCAAGCCCATATTTGAATTGGTGTTTTTTTTTCTCTATTTTGTGAAAAAAAAAGCTAAACAAGCATGTGTTATGTATAGTAGTACAACAGATGTACACGTTATTGCCCTGTGATGTGGCACAACAGCCGCCGCCCGGACACTTAGAACAAAAGACGGGGGTTAAACGGCACTGGTCCTAACGCTTCTGTAATTGCCGGTTGCAGAGTTAATGCCTGAATAAGCGTGTGCACGTGTCAAACAATCACAATGAAAATTAATGTTTCAGTTCCACCTCACGCTGGGCCGCGGCTACAAAGTACATTGTGTCTTGAAGAGGCCCTACACTGATATAAGGGACAATTGGAAGCGGCTTATATCAGAGACAAAACGGCGTGTGTCAGGCACGAGTAGCAAGGCTCTTACGCTCCGGTATCGAGAGCTTGTCCGCAGCTGGACAGTCCAGGCCCTATTCACAGGCAAAATTGCCTATTTACTCCTCATGATTACGTGAAAACGCTATTGAGAAGGGGGATCAGTCAACACACAGTACAAAGGGTGTTAGAAAGAGTAGCAGTGTTTCTGAACACTATGTGGACAAAGGCAGGGGTATAGCGAATATGTTTGGATGTCCAAAAAGAATATCGACAAAAATGCCGAAAAGCACCTAAAAATTAATCCTAAACCTAACCTCTTCTTGAAGAGTAAAAAGAAAATACCAGCACAGAAAAGAAAAGAAAACCCGCAAAGAAAAAAGTAAAAACGCCTAAAAACATGTCAAAAATAAGCCAAAACCTAAACTGCTAGAAGAGTATGTTCATCTACATATATGTAGCTCCCAGTTACTCACTCAAACCTGTAAAATACTCCCCACAATCCAGCTTTAAACATGTTGTTTTCTGTTCCACTTTCTTTCAACTTTCTAAACTTTCAAGATTAAGATTTCTACAATTAAAGAAAACTTCTCAAAAACAATTTTACTGCACCTGGAGTGAAACCTTTGTCAGTGTTAAATTTGCGTCAGTTATAAGTATAAGTCATGTGAACGGGTAGTTTTTATACACGATGTCAAGATTGACTAGTGTGCCTGTAACTTAGCCTCTACCAGGCTTCAGAGCCGGTTGGAAAGAGTAAACAAAAATTGGCCAAATAGACAAGGAAGCTGGTCCGCTAAAGGAGTACAGTTTGCCGCTTTCTCCAGCCGCCTCTGAAGCCTGGTAGAGGCTACCTCCTTTCAGTTATGCACAGTGTATATTTTATTGCCATTCGCGCATACAGTACAAAGTACTTGCGACAGTTCCACAAAAGTGTGTGTGGAACAAATATGTTATGTGTATCATGTGTATCATTGTAAACCCATCAATTCAGCGCTATTAAAGGCTGCGATTGCACGGGTAATGACCAATTGCAATAAACCATTTATTATTATTATCATCTTTATTATACTTTATTGTAGTAGAATGATTGCGGCAGCATAATACATTACACACTACCGTCGATTCGACTCGACTTTTAATTCTGGGTATCATGACTCCGATTACACTACGCCTATTACACTACAAGATTCGTGATTTCCTACTTCAGTGCGCGCTGCATTGTACACTTGACTCATAGATTCAATATGATACCTGATGACAAAATCAGAGTACAGTCCGATGGAATAGTTTCTAGTGAACTAGTGTGACACAGATTTTAAAGGCATCCAATGCAATTTCAGGTTGGAAAAATAATATTCTGGATGAGGAAATCTATCCGTGATATTGACATCTACGGTCATTTCTTAGCACATTTTTGTCATCATTTTATACTTGAAGATTTTGAAATAGCTTCGAAAAAAGCCATATCAGGAGTCCCTTTGATTTTGATACCACCGATAAACAGCAAGAACGAGCCTACCATACGAAGCAAGTAACCGTTTTCCGTCAGCGACATCGCATTTCACATATATTATATGTTTGCCTCACAGATATCAGTATACTATTGGGTAGTGTTGATTCAAACTCAACTTACTACATGAAATGACTTTGAAAATTGATGACGTTTGAAAAGATAGTTTTATCGCTTTGTGTGCGCGCTTTGAAAGCATAGAAAAGACGTGCTGAGTACAGCTCAACACCCCTGATACCGGAACTGTCAGTCCTGACTTTCATCAGTAGCGGGTTCTCCGCCCCCACAATCACGGCCTGCCACCCGGGGGACCGTACAGGCCTCATCTAGCTGTCGGGCCGGGGCCGTCCCAAACCCCGAGAGGTCAATATAGGTCTCCGCTCGCCTGCGTGACATCGCCCCATTCTTAATTCATGACTTGGAGGATAGTTACTACAACTCGCCATCTTAAGTTGGCCTTCACTTCGTAGGTAATAACAGTGTGTCACCAAGGGAACGACTTTACGGCTCAAAACACGTTTAAAAATGCGTCGAAATGATGATTGCGCTCGCGATGCAAAAATTGAATCGTTTGAATACAATGGTGACAACAGTCAATATTACACAGTAAGTATATACGACTTCTTTCTTTACCTGAAATTTCAGAATGTGTTTTGCTGAGTAGGATATAAGCAGGCGCAGTGTGCTCGTTGTGTGTGTGTGTCTGCCTTTGCTATTTCGATACAAACATTGAAGTCTAGTTTAAATACAAGCTATCGCGGCAACAGCCCACATTACACAGTAAATCTGTATATGACAACTTCTCTATCTGAAATTTCAGAATGTATCTTTGCTGGGTAGCATATGTAGATAGATCAGACGCAGATTTATTCTGCGTGCTCTCGTTGTGTCCTTTTTCTGTATAGATGCCAGTCACATATATAGACCTCCAATGCCTAGCAAGTCTTCGTGGTGTAGCGAAAAGGACATAAATTTAATCTGCTAGGGCGGAGTAGACATTTCAATATCATTCCTGATAGAATCTACGTAAACACTCATGTTATTACTGGCTATGAGCTCAGTAAACAAGTTTTCAGGTCACAAAGATAGACGCTACACAAAGTTTGTTCCGTGCTTTACCAGAATAACCCACTTCAAGTGTAACTTCGTACACTAGGCTAAATCAGGGCTCAATTTCGCGCCCCGACCTCTCCGAATTCAATTTTGTAAATATTCTCCAACATAATTCTTCCAAAAGTTAATCGTCGGATTGAATTTGAGCGGGGTTACAGGGTTCGAATCGGGGGGCTGTAGAGGAATTGATGGAAAACGTTGGAGACACTGAGTACGTTATATTTATGTACTGAGTGATGGAACACTGTACGTTGGTGCTTCGCAGTTGTAGGCTTGACATTCTGTTCCATTTGCCGGATTTGCTGACTTGCATGGAGAATGAAGCGCTATTCATGATGACAAACGCATTAAAAAGGACGAAGCCCCCCCCCCCTCACTCCCCAACAACATCGATCTACAGGCCTGGCTCTATGCCGTCACGTGACGAAGGGAAAACGCTTTCAACAGAAGTGGTCGCTAATGGACCTTTCATTACCAGACTATTGTTCCCTGCTCCCTTGCTGCTCTCTCGCACTTCCCAAACCACTTCAATTTTCTCGGCGCTTTTAAAGGCACGGTTTGAAAGAGTTACAATGTGTCTGGACGCGTGCATGGAATCCACAAAGCCGACAGAGTGCGCCCGGTCCATTCTTGTCGAGGCCTCCGCAGGCTGACGCCCCAGAGCCCGCCGGCACACGCACGTATGCCACCTGAGCTTTCCCCGAGCCACGGACTTCGATCCTCAATTCAAATCTTTATTTGGATTGAAATGGGTCTTTATTGAATTATTCTCCCAATAAAAACCCAATTCAGCCCTATTAATGAGACCTAGCGAGCATCTCATAAATATGAGCGGGAAAACCGCTAAACGCACCTGCCGACAGACGATCTACTTGTCTCAGTGTTACCGCACAGTCAACCGTGAGCTGATGTCGTCACGGGAGGCGATAGCTGAAGTCAGATGTGAAATCTGTCAGTTGGTTCCTTACCATGTCACGGCGCACGGCCTAGACAGGTGGAAAAGCCCATCTTTTCAACACGACAACTGCCTTAACGCTCCGCGGATTCACACGACAAGCCGCGATATCAAACGGGCATTCTCGCCCGAGAAAACTTAATTTAACAGGACTTGGATAAAGCGCACCATTGTCGCTGTGAAACACACAGGACAACGCAGATGGTGAAGTGTTATATACCCAGTCCAAAAAATCATAATCACCAAAAACAGATTATCTACTGCGAAATTTTTTACCCGATCACTATAGATTTCGGAGATGAAAAATCCCGTTTTAGAAAATAATAATCACCAGAAACAGATTATCTACCTCGATTTTTTTTCGCACGACCACTTAAGATTTTGGAAATGAAAAATCCCGATTTGGAAACGATTTTTTTCCACTGAAAAATAATAATCACCAAAAACAGATTATCTACCGCGATTTTTTTTCGCACGAACACTTAAGAGTTTGGGAATTATTAAAAATCCCGTTTTGGAAACGAATTTTTTCGAGTGAAAAAATAATAATCACCAGAAACAGATATCTACCGCGATTTTTTTTTCGCACGAACACTAAAGATTTTGGATCCCGTTTTGAAAATTAATTTTACCCAGTGAAAAAATAATAATCACCAAAAACAGATTATCTACCGCGAAAATATTTTGCACGAACACTTAAGATTTTAGCCTGGGTGCCACCCGATTTGTAACGGCAACCCCGAAGAAATCGGGTAGCACCCAGGCTATAAAGATTTTGGAAATTATTAAAAACGTTTTGGAAACAAATTTTTCTCAAAGTATCTACACTGCGGAAAGGTTGAACGATGTCTTTATCCCCGAACACCGACAGTTCCATTCAAGCCTACGGTCGTGTTCAGTTGTTGTGTGGTTCTTTTCTTTTCCCTTCCCTAAGAGTTAACTAGGAGGGAGGAGCGCTTCGCTACAGGACTGCACTGGGACCTCCGTCCATCTGTCAGAAAATCCCTCACACTTTCGCATAAACACAAGACAACAGATAGAAACACACATTTATATACTGTCCTAACCGTGGATGTTTTTCGCGAATCTTCATTGTGGTGTAGTACTAAAATGTATTTGATAAAGTTGACAGAGAAAAAATGTCGACATTATCCTCTGGCAGAAAAAAAGCCATAGAGACATATTCCGGAGCCCGCTGATGTGGAAATAACGGCAATCAGTTCGGGATCATTGAACTGTTAGTAAACCTACCATTATTACTCAGCGGCAAAGAAAAACAATACCCAAAGCCCGCCGAGATTTCAGATTTCCCCCGACAAGGATTAGTCATGCACAGGAATCCTCGTTTGGCGCGGGAGGAAGGAACAATAATCTCAGCTCAGTTTTCCGACAGATGAACTCGACTGGTGTTCCCCTTTTTTTTCTTCTTCTTCTCATTCTAAAACATCTGTTCTTCTTAGCATAGGGAAAGGTTGGCAGATTATTCTTTACTTCCACAAAATTACTGGGGCAACCGGGAAAAGAACCCTCCACAAGTCACATGGTGGGGAAAGAAACATATTCGTCAAAGGTTTCGCTTCTGTCCGTACTGTCAAAATGGGGTGTTCCGAAAAATTTAAGATATATACGCACCTCTTAATACGTATGTTACTCTCGTTCATGAAAATTATTCTTTGTCAAGTTGATCGTGATATTTGTCAGTTGATGAAACACAAAGAAAATGGTAGCACGGTAGATTTGTTACCGGCTTACTCGAAAAACGCGCTCGCTAAAGGTAGCGAAAATCTACCGGGCACCGTACAGTAGTTTCTGCGCTGTCGCCCAACTGAAAGCGGCTAACACTGTACCGTACTTGACGGTAAACATCAATATGTAGACATCTTAATCTCAAAGTCCGGTAAAACATATAACACATGTCCTACATTCATCCGCGCATGTTGAAGTCGGTGTTCTGAACAATGGAGTTCTATATTGTTCCGCGGTGGGTGGCCAGGCAGCCCGACTTTTGACCGACGAACAACCGACAGCCACAGGACTGAATAACAAGCAGGGCACGTTTTAATCGGGCAATGTTCACTATGACTTAAGCTATAGCAGGATATGCGAAAAAGTTACGACACAAACGATACAAACAGCCATTTACGATCTAAAATTCACTTCCTTCTAGAGTTAGAAAACAACGCAGAAACTATAGACAAAATGATAAAGGTTAACGTTATCTTCATGACTAACACTTACTTTAAAACATTTACATAAACTTAAAGTTAAAGACGCACAACACAAATTCTAGGGTGATTCCTTTCAAAATTACTTAAAAGCAAGGAATGATTTATCATTCTTAAAGTAATACAAGCTACACTTTTAGTTTGAGGCGTCCGGCTTTTACTTCTGTTTTCTACATCATTAAGAATGTACGTAAATTCTGTATGTACCTGGATTCTTGCTTCGTTCAGTTTGGTGGCTCTAGCCAGCTCCTCTCGGACATAGATGTCGGGGTAGTGGCTCTTACTGAAGGCCTCCTCCAGCTGGGCCAGCTGCTCCTGTGTGAAGGTGGTCCGGTGGCGGCGGCGGGCGGGAGTCGGCGGGATGGCGGGGTTGGGCGGGGTGGTGGCCGTGTCCCGCCCGAGCCCTGCGCCCTCACTCGGCTTCGGCTTCTTGAAGGCCCCGTCCGGGCTCTCTGTGATCGGCGGATAGACGGGAAAGTCAGTGCAAATCATCGGCAAGTGGTAAAACATCTGGAATAATACGTTTCTTGCTGTTCCGAAACCGCCGCTGGAAGGTTCGAGTTTTCTAGGGTACAAACACTCCCGTTGTGGTGACTTCTAAACAACGCCGCAGCAGTGCTTGTGTGTATGCGGCTACTCGGTCCCTCCTCCGGGGTACTGCGTATTGCTACAAGTCGGTCGACTCGAAAAGATCGCTAAAAGGACCGATTCTTGCACCACACAAAGAAGGAGAGGCGACGACAACAATGCCCGCTCGTGAGAGACGTACAGAAAGCCGCATGCACCTAACTTTGACACACAAGGCTGTAGAAATAACCCGATTCCGTGTATGATACAGGCGAAATCTAAATCTATTAGAAACAAAGTTAGTTATCGTCCATATGCCACATGGTTCACAGGACATCTAGGGAGCTGTGCTAAAGATCAAATATTCTGCTCTAAGCCGAATGTATGATTCAAACGAATTGAATCTTCTTTTTTTCTTTTTAACTTAACTTGTCCACACCGTGTATCGTATATAATGCGACATCAAAACCTCAGTATACAAGTCAACTGTATTCGTGACCTGCCTTAATATGATACTGTGCGCACAAAAATATCATATCATTCACGGCAATAATGTGTAATTCTGTTATAAAAAATGAGTTCAGGTCGTTTGATAAACCGAATCAACAAATTTTTTGCTGGCAATACTGTCGTGAGGGCACTGACAACATATTTTACTCAATTTGCCAATAGGATTTAAACGTTGTCGCTTCCATTTGGGTCGACTTTCAACATTGTTTCGTTGCAAATACATGTACATGTTTCCGAAAGGATGAAAAAAAATGCGCGAAGTAAAAATGACTGGGGATTTCAGTGCGTGGACATCAAATTGTAATTATTTGCCATTTAATTATTGTAAACTGTTGAAAATGACCGGTAGCTCGAAGGAAATGATACATGTACATTTGTAAGAAATACTTATATTTTCAGTACGTGTACATGGTGCAACATAAAAAAAAACACTTTTCTGTCGGGCATCGCTACGAATATTCGTCAACTAGAGATAGTCGATTTCTCTGCTTCAACATTCATGTTGATCCATCTTAAACGGGTGTGATAAGAAAAAAAAAACAATATCTCACAAAACCCTTGAATTTTCGGACTTTTTACATACACACAGTTAAACGTAAAGTGTAAATATAGTCCCGGCCGTTCCATATTTTTTACAAGGTTAACACGGTAAAGACGAATAAAACTTGTGTAAGTGACAGTCAAGTCATAAGACGTTAGTTAGATTATTATATTTCAGAAAATTTGCGTAGTTTAATTTTTGGACCTTTTACATACATACAGTTAACGTAAATTTCGAACTGATATAGTCTCGGGCGTTCATAGTTACGGGGTTAACACGGTAAAGAAAAAAAATTGTGTAAGTGACGGTCAAGAAATAAGACGTTAGTTAGACTGTAATATTTTTAAAAAATTGCGAACTTTAAGAACGTTACTATTTGTACTACCACGAGCTTCGGCTGTACACACTTAAGTAAGAAAAATCGTCAGAAAAATGTTCCTCACAGAAAATTCGAAAGCCCAATAAAACGTCATATCGTCTGATTTCAACAAACGTCTCAACCATCGACACCCAAGTTTTACATAACCCTCGTCTATTACTGCATCTATAGCCCTAAATTGCTGGCCGTAAAGTAGTTTCTTATGACATTATGACTTGTATAGTTGCCGGGGATGGGTCTGATCTAATCGCGAGCGGCCGTAATGAGGAATCATCAAGCTTGTAGAGGGGAGAGAAAATTTGATTCTGGGGCCGAGGCTGTACGAGCTGCGCGCGCTAAAAATCTTCCCAGCCGCCTGCGTCAGTTCGCCTTCTTCACAAGCACTTCACGACAAACTAGATCCCGACGATGAAAACCCAATCGTCCCTTGAATATGAGGGATGCAGATTCGATTTAGACGCCATGAATCGAGGATAGAATTTTCCTCGTGAAGTTATTATGCTTATAAGAAATGGCATTTCCCTTCGCAAGTTTGTGCAAGCAAATTTGTAAGAAGAAAATATTTGCCCCATTCCCCCGTAGACCGTTTCAGAAGAGGTTGTTTTTTTTTCTTAAATTTCATAATCGCTAGGAGAATACAAAATCGGGTTATTTATTTATTTGTTGATAAGGAATTTAAAGAGTTAAGTCAGACGAAATACCAGTTTTAGGGAAGCGGCATCAAACAGGTTTACGGAGCGGGGTTTGAGCGGGATTTGGCGCCGCCGACAGCAGGTTGGCTTAACCGCGCGGCCCCCCCTCTGGCGGGATTTTTCTAGAAACGTTCGAATTTTTTTCTCTCACGGAATGTCCAAAATGGGTAACGTACAAACCAACTCAGTCCCTTCGTTCTGAGTCAAGAGAAAAGAGAGACTTGTGTATGCGCTAGAGGAATTTGCGCCTTTTTTTGTGAACGACGTAGTTCATCGTTGAGCTTGAAGGCAGCGCGCCGCGAATAGGAAGAGTTGTGCCGGCGGGGTGTAGCCACACTGTCCGCCGCGCGCGGACACATCGTCAAAGTGCACTCAGCAAAACAACCCAGCTCTCTCAATCACCGCAAATAGAATGATATCCACAAAATATATACAATTGTAACTGCCAGATCAACCATTTCAAATTAACTTCTGCACACAATTACTCACAAACTAAGCGAATTATAGTTTCAATGCTTCCCAGCTTGTTCACTTGGACGCGTCAAACAGGACATTATGAGATTTATAATAGTTGCCCAAAGTCTACGGGTGGTGTAGTGACAAAGTTAACGAATTTACAAATATTCGATTTTGAAAGTGACTGAAACTATTGACTTAAATCATCGGCACAAGTGGCCCGGTTCGGCTTGGCGAGAGATCTGGTCACAACTGACAAGGAACTTAAATAAATTTTACCTGCAGCGCCACTGAGTGCGCGAACGGCCGCGCTTCTCTCCAAGTACAGGGAACCGAATTCGTCACATTTTCTCTTCTCGGAACGATCGTCTGTCAGCCGGTCGTCAGCCATTTTCCTCAGGATTGTCCGCCTTTTTTTTCGGGCCCAGCCGTTCGTACGTGGAAAAGCGCTGTAGATGTTTTAAGATCCGTGAGTGCTTCGTTGGTAACTTTATATGGATCCCCAGCCAAACCCTGGATCTGCCCTCTGACCAACCAGTGGTCACGCCTTCCTCTAAATTAGATTTGGTGGTTGCTGATTGGTCCGTGCACGGCGATTTCACTTGTTGGGCAAACAAAGGGATAATCCTGGCCACCGACGGGGGCGTTTCTTTTTCATTACTGCACCGTTTATGAACACGTAAAACGGCTTCCTAAGTATGCGGAATCTTTTGTGGGGAAGCGGTGAGTGTCGTCGTGAACAAGCGGCTTTGAAGGGAAGAGCGGGCGGTGTCAGACCCCGAGAATCGCGCGGTGAGCGCGGCACACACACCTGCCATATCCGCTAGCAATTCTATCTCGCACTCTCCCAACCAAGCACAAAGCGACCATAATACCATTAGCCAGGGAAAAGTGTTACTGTTAATGAACGTTTACAAGAAACAATTAAAACAGAAAGGCCGCTGTCGTGTAGGATCTAAATCCATTAACCCGAGATGTTGAAAGTAAACAACATTCTTGTACAAAGTGTAGGCTGGGAAAAAGGATGTGGTTTGTAGCGTGTTGTGGTGTGTTGCCGTGAGCACAGTTTTGTTGTTGGGAAGGGAACACGGTCACAAACAGTTGGTCCATGAAAGGGGAGAGGGGACTTCGCTTGTAACCCGAGACTCCGCCAGTGACAAGGCCAGCAAAGGGCGCAGAAGATTTTTGTGGGAAAGTTTAGAAGCTATCGGCGGGCCTACGCAGTCGCCAACTAATTACTTGGGAGTGCACCAATGCAACGGTGGATTAGGCAGAAGTCGCTGAAGAATAAATGCGCATATCGGATGAACTAATGACTCCCGCTTCGCAACACTGAATCGATTGTCAACTCCTTTCACTCCGGCATCGATTGCTTTAATTAGTCTCCAGGAGGAACCCTCACATGCCGCTCTGTTTTCATTCTTCCACATTAACTTCCCGTTCCTTCGGTGAGAAAGTAGCGTTTTGGTCACCACCGAATGAAAGGGTCCCAGTGAAACTTTAGGCAAAGTCATTCAGAACACACGGAGTGTTAATTTTCATTCCGGGCGGAAAAGGGCGCATAGCTCTCGCTAATATTTCCCGCCCATGAATGGGACATTGTGCATCCTTTTCACAGCGATTTTCCCAGCCGACGAGGTGGATTTAAGAAGGGTTGATTGTGGTGCTTTTTCCCTGCCTGAACCTGTGCGGAGCGGTAGGTCCCGTGTTGGGAGCTGAGAAAATTAGAACCAAGCGGTGTCAGGACCCGCTACCGTCTAACGGGACCACGGCTCATTACACATGCAGTGACGGGACCGTTAAGTTGTAACCCCGAAAACGCGAGGGGAATCACCGAGTTTTCCTCCTTTGTCATACGGCCTGGATTTGAGCACATCGCGGGAGGAATTTTTAACATTTAGCGAGGTGTACGTTTCTCAATGCGCTGTCGTATCACATCACGTCCCTTTTTTCAAACCCAGTGAGAAGAAATCATTTTGTAGAAGTGTGAAGCTATCAAGAATGCTTGTGAGAAGGACCTGTGTAGTCGTCATTATTTCTGGTGCCATGCGCTTCCTTCTATATACGTGGAAGGCAAGAATTTTGTTTCCGATGTTTAACCTGTCCTATTACCACGCGGAAAGTGAAATTCGATGTAATACAGGGGGAATAATAGGAGTCCATTTGCCGGGGAAGTGAAATCGCGACGAGGCCAATCCGCACGAGAGGCCCATTGTGCCGCCACTTGTGCGCGCATTAAATTCATCACGAATCTCGCGATTGAAATTATGTACCTATTACAAGTCTATTAATCTGCCAAATTGAGGTCAAGCCAATTGACCATGAGTAACGAAGCGCGATGCGCCCGGAAAGACGGGACTGACAGTAAATTGAATTTGCCGTCTTCCCCGGAGGATGGGGGATGGGAGGGAGCGGCATCACCTGAGACCCCGGTTACCATGGAGACATCATCCGGGGGAGGAGGGAGGGAGGACCGGCGGGGCACCTGCCGTCTACTGATTGACAGAAGAGAGAAAAGTTCACGTCTGATTTCGAATAAAAGTCCCCAGGACGCGTGGGGAGGGGCCGAATCATCAGATTCTACTCGTCTAACGAGAAGCCTTTGCCCTGTTGGTGTTCAAGGTGTTAAAGTCAGGGAATTTTTAAAAACCCAAAGTACGTACCATTTTAGCTTAGTTATCTCACTTTGCAACAGTATAATATTTTGTAGGAAAGCGCCGTACACATAGTCTCCAAGCAGAGGTTTAGGTCACGGCTTATTTTGACGTGTTATAATAAAATAGGCTTTTTCATCGGGCTTTCTTATTTGTACTGGTATCTTGTTGTTTTTCGCCAGTCCAGCTCGGATGGCAAATGCAAACTGCCTGGCCAATTTGATACTGTCTTTGCAGCCACTGAAAGATCTGCTTGGAGATTACTTTAGACAGTTGTCGTTAACGTACAAGTATCTAAAACTTATTCTTGACGTGCCATGTTTAAAGTTGCTGTTTTCTATACGTGGCTGCATATTTTACCAAGGAGGTTAACCTAGCTCCTTGATTTTATTATTAAGTACTCTCCAAGAAGCCGATGTATAAGCTTCGACTCCTTCTAAAAGTGTTTTAGGCGTTTTTATCGGGCTTTCTTTTTGCACTAGTATCTTTTCTTACCCAGCTGTGCTGTGTTGGATGCTGCCTGGCCAATTTGATAGTCTTGTCAATTTGTTACTGTGTTTCCGATTTTATACTGTCTTTCAGTCACCAAAAGATCTGCTTGGAGATCAGATTTTACGTTTTTTCCCAACCTCCAGCTAGCCTGGGTAAATTCTAGAAATCTGGAATATTTGGAGGCGTCAGATGACGTGTCGTTTTGAGCAGAAACAAGTGGATTATCCGGGCGCCACATGCGGACTAGTTCCCGCTGAGACACCGCTCAGTCAACATCAGATAACACGGCACGACTGCACCGGCTACACCGCCACAATTCTCAGGTTACCACGTTACTGTACGATACTAAACAAAAAGTTACAGTCCATGTCTCGCACAATTTAGATAATGTTTCATTAAAGGCATCCAATGCGATTTCAGAGCAGCAAAAGTGGAAATATTATGAAAAAGGCAATCTTTATGATATTGACACATACTGCTTCACAATAGCACATTTCAATCAGTATTTCACACTTTGGGCATTCAAAACTGCAGAAACAAGCCCCAAGATGAGTCCTTTATTTTCAGGGTGGTACCCCAAAAATCAGCCCAGGGCCCTTCCAGCAGTAACCACTTTCCGTCAGAATTTTGGGCATTTTTGCTTCACGAGGTTCAATATACATCGGAATAGTGTGGTTTCAACTGAGTATGTAGATTAGTGATTAGTGATTAAGTTTGATGTTTAAAAATCAGGTTTCCAAGCCGTAATAATGGCATAAAAACTGCATTGGATGCCTTTAAATGTCTAGCAAATTTAAGCTCTTTTACTACGTATAACCTATATATTCGTGCACATTTCTCTACATCTTCTTTGCCGTGTGTGCAGCTATGTAAAGTAACTGGGATTAGTCGATGGCTCGTATGGCAGCTTTTGTGATTATCCAAAAGAATATGCTGTTCACACCGCAGTGCTAAGACAGCTTTATAGAGCTCGAGCTGATGTCCTGTTATATTTGTTATAATATTTCTCTTATTACTATGGTTATTGTTGTTATCATTATGGTTATAATCGCGAAATTTTTGTTGTTATTTATTTAGTTATTTTTTATTTATCTATTTATACATGTTTTAGTGTGTCACCCTTGTTAGTACGACTCTACAGCTTTTCGAATTATATTTCAATTATGCATTACAAGAAAGAGACAAGCCGAATCGACATATTCGAATATACTACCCACTCTAGCGTGTACATTTGTAAACACTTATTTTTCTTTTGTGACCTATACTTATCCCAATGGGGCTAATGCATATAATAAAGTAAAATTTATTTATTTACTACCACGCACTTACATTAATTTGTAAAGGTTAACTCTATTAATTCATATGATACATATCATATCACATGTAATGACATTTTTAAGAGATGTCGTTATCTATGATATGATATGTATGATGTGATTTTAAACGTTTGACGTCGATGTCAAGTGGTCAGATGTTATTAACTTTTCCACTAGAGTCTGCGACACTGAGTGACCAAAAATTCGACCGATCACCCAATTTTTTTAGGTCAGAAGTATTTCCATACAAACACGTGCTAAGCACCTTTTCCTGAGTTAATTTTTTTTCACAAGGGAGAGAATTGAATAATTTTTTCACAAGTATAAGTCAAAGAATTGATACGACCTCTTACTAGTGAAAAATGAGTTAGAGTTCCCCTAGTATTAACATATGAGTTATAATTAACTCATTGTTTATTATAATACATATAATTTATTTTGTTACAAGTACATACATCGCAATGACACCACTATTCCTCTTAGTTCGTCTTTTGCACTCTTTTCTAAACACTAACTAAATAAATGTGCCGAATAATCAGATCTCATACATAAAGCCCCTGTCACAATTAGCCTAATATGGCCTCCCGAACACTAGTCGAACTCCCCCTCACCCCACCCCCAACCATGGTTGGGAGTAGGTCGGGAGCCAGGTCGGCTGTGATTGGCTGGTGTTCGGCCAGGTCGGCTACTGTTCGACTGCGCCAGCCAAAATGTTTGAAACATTATCGGGTGTTGGCTGGTGGCTGGTGTTCGGGAATATTTCGGACCGTAGTTGGCAGTCAAATTTGACTCTAATTTAACTCACATTCGATTTGATTGTTACAGAAATTTAGGCGTAGCATAAATCTGGTCAGACTGCTCCCGAACTTCAGCCAACCTTGGCGGAACCTATCGTCAACACCCGAACGTTTTAAACGTTTTAAAACGGGGAAGGTTCTGAATGTGTGACTGGAGCTAAATGAACGAATTGTTTTCACGTTTTGTGTGTTTTGTT